CATAACTATAGCATGGTGGTTAAGGTGCTTACTTTCTAATCCTGTGTCCAAATAAATACACTTTAGTGGTTATGTATTATCCCAGATACTTTGTTAACTTCCCAGGAATTGTGAAGGGAGGTTCGATTTTTTTCAGAAAAGGCCCAATTTTAGTAATTATATTATGAAAAATGGTTGATGGGGGAAATATGCATGCAAAATCCAAATTTGACAAGGGGAAAAAAATGAAACAAACAACATTATATTATTTTAGACTTATTCTTATCAATATTGGATTTTTTATCATAAATTTGCAATTTTTCTTACAGACCAGTTGCTGCCTTTATTTATTCTAGGAACAACTGTCACCAGTGACAGTTGTTATAAAGTACTGAACTCGATCCGTAGATGCCCAGAAATGTCAATCTAAAAATGTTTACATACACTTTCAAAAGGGCACTTCTTAAAAAAAGGGGGTTTGTTCTAACCCTTTGAACCCCTCTGGTTATCGGCTTACACCCCTCTTCACATGCTTTAATTGTTTTTTGAAAGGAAAAAAATGTTTGTTTAAAATGTTTTGAAGATTATATATAGTCTATTACATAGCATACAGTAGCTTCAAAATAAATTATTATTGGGTGAATCGTTAGTTTCAAATTTCTCCCTTCTATCTTATTATGAGTTTTGACCTTTTCAATTCAGTATCTGTATTCGTTTAATTTGCAAGATTCTCCTAACATTTAAAGAATAATACAATAAAATGCTATTGACTATCGCTTCTAATTTCTGAATTATTGTCACATTCAATTACTAAGGGGTCACATGATGCTGGGATAGAATGCTTTTTGTAACTGATGGATTACCATAGCATAATAGATAATAATCAGTAAAGTTTTAATGTCACTACAATCACTCTTTCATTCACAAGATAAACTATCATATAAGCATTCATGTGCATATATTGTGTTCAACCTTTCAACATTACCAAATTCAGACATGCTTTCGGAGGTCGTTGAAGTATTAAAAGCTTAGATTCTCTAGAAAAGCCATCATAGTAAACAACAATGTTACCACACTTGAAAATTTAGAAGCATTTGCCATTTTCACATGAACCAGTTTGCCGCCATTCAAAGAATGAAAATATTTGGTTGTATCCCGGTTTTGCCTCTGTTAAGCTCTGTCCAGATTATCAAATTTTCTTTGACAAAAAACTATTGTATGCCCATATATAGTCATGATGTGCCTATATATGGTCATGATGTGATGTCATCATGACCATATTTAGGTGTGTCACATGTTTTTGATATTCTGCACAGAGCTTACAAGACTATAACTGAAGTATTTTTTAGAAGAATGGCTTTTTATTTTTATAGTATTTTTACTCCAAAAATCTTTTACCAGAAAAAATTTCAGGCTCTACCACATATATTCAAAGTATATGAAAATAATGTTTTTGTAAATTCACATATGGATACAAATTTTTCACTTTTTAAATTTCATTGAAAGATAATTTTTGTAAATGTACATACACAAGCAATTAGAATATTGAATTTCTTTTCTCAGGATTCCAGCTCAACAGTATCTTTAATTTAAAGAAATACTGTATATCTTCAAGTGTTTTGGTATTACTTTCTACACTGTGCCTTATTCATTATCATACAAAAAATTCGCATAACGCATTCGCTCAGTTTGTTTGCTCTGTTTCACTACTCCACTAAATGCCGTCGAACACAAGCAATCAATATTTATTGCTGAGATAAAAGGATGAAGGATAATGATGACCTTGCAGTTTTGTGAGGTCATCCAAGAGCCAGATTTTGAATGCATTAAACTTGATTTTAAATGTAATAATTATAAAGAAATATATTATCATGTATTATATTATTTATAATAATATTCGGTATTATATTTTATATATTATAGTAATAAATGTACATGAATGAAAATTATGAATATTTATTTGTGAAGATATATATTATATATAAATATACACCATTTTCGCGAAATTGGGAATGAAAATTTCTGATAACCTGGCAACTACCATTGGGGGACTTTCAGAGGCCTAGCATTTCGCTCTACATACTTACCATCATGAATTAAATCAACGATGAAACTAAATTACTTACGAGTGCAAGTATTTTAAAATGGAAAAAAAAACACGAAATGGATAGGATGGATGGGATAAGTCGAAATTTTCAAAATTGAGTTTTGTACATATTATGAAACTAGATTATCTTCAACATGCAAAAAAATCACTTTGATATGATAGTTAGGATTCTTTGTAAGTGTATTTTGAGAAAACTAGCTTTGAAAATCACATTTTATGTCTGTACGATAGGACGAGCTTTCTTAAATACCATTTTTTGAGCATTTATCGATTATAAATCAGAGAAAGCTAAATGTAGGATGAAAGTTAAATGTTTAATATGTATGTTTAAGGGATAAAAAAAAATCGAAAAAATTTACCGATTTCACATTTGTGCATTTATTGGAACACTGACTGCGACTTATCCCTCCTTTGGCTTGGCTCTGCCACATATACTCATCTAATATGAACAGGTCTCCCTCTAATTAAAGACCAGTCAAATTAAGGATTACCTCCAATTAAAGACCACTTTCTTACAATGGTCCCAAATCAAAGCTGCTAAACCAAGCGCGCTAAAGACCATGAAAACCCCAGTCCCCAAAGTGGTCTTTAATTGGAGGGAGACCTGTATATCAGTACAGGTATATAAATAATATTTTATCTAAAGTCATTAAAATATTTAATAATGAATTCAACATTTAATAATTAAAAGTTATTATATAGTTACTATATTTAAAACCATTGTACCATATAACATTTTTATTGAAATTGAACATTTAATAATTTGGGAAGGTTAGTTTATCAGCAGTTCTGTATAAATTTGGTTAATGTGTGATAGTATTGAAATCCTGTGGCAATTCAGTATTATAATGAATGCATCGTTCTAGATAAAATTTCAAATGTCAACTTAATTTTTCGTTGGTTTTAATGTTGCATTGATTACAATTTGTTAAGGGTACATTCAGAATATACTACATAATCTAAGGTCTATCATCATGTATTATGTTACAGACCAATGTGAATTGCCCATATACTGTATGGATAATGATAATAATAATATTATAATAGTCTTTATCTGTAAAGCCTAAAACAGTATCTATTAAAAATACATATATACATAATGTTGTCTAAATGAAAATTCATTTTTAAAAAACGGTTAAAGTTGGGGGTCATTACAGTATAATGCATTTACATTTTTTCATCAAAAATGTTATTTTAAACAACTTATCAGATAAATGGGAAAATTACAGTATTTGTCACATTAATTTGTTAGTGAGGACAGAGCTTAACATACCCATAAGATTATTGTCTGTGAAATATTGCAGTGTTTGATCAAACTTTAAATATGTAGAGCAATTCATCAGACTTCCATTGGACATGGACAGATACACGATTTTTAATCAGATGTATCTGAAACAAACACGCTTTACCTTGACTTTAGTGGGCCATGAGTACACTCAAAATTTCTAATTTACACTCATTGCTCACAAACATTGGTTAATTAGAAAAATTCCAGCTGAATGTTTACCTGCTTTGCAATTGATCTTTCTGACGTGTCAAGCAACTGACCTATCAGAACAGTGTAGGAATACATGCTAATTGCACAAAAACATGCGTTGTACTACAAACACATGTTTATACTTATACGTACATTTACTCTGTCCTCCCACCAAACCTTAGCAACAGTGTCCTTAGCAGAAAGGTTGTTATACTGTCAAGTTATTTTTTGATGGCCTACCATTTTTTTTTTAACCTACAAATCCAATGGTAGGATATTGCACAATTTGAGTTTTTAAAATTTACTTCATGACAGCCAAAATTTGCCGACAGGGGTTCTGACATTTCCGACTGAGGGGTCCAAACCAAGGGGCCGACGAAGCCTCGGCCAAATATCTGGAATGAAAAAACTCCTGGTAGGGTTGACAGGGACCATTTTTATGGCTTTTGGTCCAAAATGTGCTTTTAGACCACAGTATTCAAAATAACGTTATTTTGATAGGCAAAAAAAATTTTTTTTTTAAATCTTTGATCCGACTACCTAGTCATTCATCAGACAGGGAGGTCAAGGCCTGTTTGACACGGGGCAAATTCTGCCTGCACCCCTCGCTGGCGCCACCACTGCTTCATGACTCAATTTATGGCCATATAAAAGTTCATTGTCTCATGAGTCAACAAATGTATAAATAATATTCAAATTTTATATAAAATCAAGGATAATATTTTTAATCAGGATCAATATGTTTTATGTTGTCTTGTACCTTAACATTCATATAATGTTGTATGCTATATATTCTCGCTAATGTTTTCTGCAACGTTCATGATTTTTATTTTTAAATGGCAATAATGAAATGTTCACTTGTGATTGAATTTATTGTCAACACCTTTATTGTACACGTTCTTGCCACGCAAAATCAAGTGTGATTCGGTCCTATGCACATAGTGAGCTATGAGTTATTACATAACACATTTTGTACAAATTTAGAAATAAAAATACATATTTAATTAATAATACAAGTGGCTTCACTACAAATCATATTGACATGCATTGAGGTACACCACTACAAATATACAGAGTGTACATCATTAAATTAATGGAAGATTACAGTATATGATAATGATAGAAAACATAAAAGATATAATTTCAGCTTAAATAATTCAATTAATTTGGATTGATTATAAATGATGGTATACATTAATGATAGATTATATTAATATTAATAAGTATGCTAGTAATGATAATAATGCCAATGATAATTATTATATTATAATAATTCATATCCAAATCTTCTAATCTTGGAATTTCAAATTGAAAAATACAAAGGAAGATATATATATTAATTACAAATGCCATTTTATCATTTTTTAAAATTTTTCCATTTTACAATTCGTAATACTCTTTTCACCATTAACTTTTTCCATTTTTTATATTTTTCAGATTGCACACGACTGCAAAAGCAGCGAGTGACACAGAATATCCCGCCTATGGGGTTACTGGACCAACGACACAGAGATCCTCCATGACTGTACGAAGCGTCTGTTTTTCACATGTTATCTATTTAATTCTTCTTGCGTCATTGATGATGACACAAGGCTCACATTAATCTATCACAGTATCCGACCTTTATCGTTCAAATCTTTTCAATAGAATTACAAAGTTGAATTGCTTTTGCTGTTTTATTTCGATTTAGCCGAGGTCATTGACCAACTCAAACTTGTAATTAACACCTAATAAAATTAATTTATTATTAATTTCAAAAATTATACTTTTAATTTGATTTTATTTTGAATTAGATCAATAAAAGTAGTAAAATTATAGAATAAGATAATTTACTATAATGTTTTACAGAACATCAGCTAGAGGCTAGTTATGTTGTTAAAGTTAACTGTTGTTAAAATGTCGTAAATCAGTTGCCTGCGGAAATCCAAGTACAATATGCATAGAACATACATAATGTTAAAAGGAAAAAAGTGTTAGTGAATGAATGTCGTACATACAATTGTAAGTGTTGTAATTGCATGCAATTCAAATTCTGTCGCAGTCTTATGTAACGTTGACATGATTTCAGCGAAGAATGCAATGTCCTTAATAACCTAGCACTCGCGCTGTTTACAATCCATCAATCTTGATAGATACGATAGTCAAGCTTCTCAATCTTAGTTTAAAGTGGTTCCCACAAGCTTATATCACAATTAATATTGAGCCCTCTTGCATCATTCTTCTTTTTTCATTAAAATGGTCCAAATTATTGATATACTATCTTTAACCCTTCATCCTTCCTTTTTTTTTTTTAAGGATTTCCCATATATTTCTCTACTTGAAAATTTATTATTTATTTGATTCCTTTCTTTTCCACTAAAATATAAATATCTATAAATATAGATGAATAAATATAAACTTCGTTAAATTTGATTTACTAAGATGCTCGAAAGAGCTCAAAAGGAAAACAATTTTGATATTCTTTTCAATTGCCACTATGGCACCTGGCTAGATTTACACTCATAATGCTGAGTAAATTCAACAGATTTAGCTTGCTTTTCAAGCATGCGCTTACCAGATTTATGTTTGCTAAATAGGTGGCTGAAAAGTAATCGTTTCTTTTCCGTTTGGAAATCCCAATTTCTTAATAAGTAATAGAAGTAATCTATCAGATAAGGGATGCATTCTAATTATTTGTGTTTATTCTTGTTTTCATTTATCCTGGATAATGAATTTGAATAGAATTTCTCTTACGAAGTAGTTGTTTATTCCCATTAAATAATTTCCCCGATGAAAACATTTAAGTTTTTTATTTTCTTTTTTATTTTTTTGGTTTTTTTTTTAATGTTTTTTTTTGGTTTTTTTTTTTTTAAATGTTTTTTGTACCTTGTTTGTTTCACATTTAGAGGTTTTTTAGAACAGTCTTAAGTCATAGTTTTTATTTTTGTTTGTAGCAAAATTTGGTCATGAACTTTGGTAGTAACACATAGTATTCAAATTGATGATTTAGGTGTTTGTTTACACTATACATTCATTCATTTATTCATTATATATGAAAGAAGTAGAGGCATAGGCTGGTTTTGGCCTGTGGGTGCACAAAACTTTAGAATGTACTACAATACTTTAATAAATAATATGTTTGTCAAAAGACCTAATAATTAAAAATGAAATGTTCACCTTGTAAACATCTCCACTTAAAACCTCTCTGTAATAGTTTAATGTTTTGTTTGCTAGTTTGATATCTACTTGATATGTTTATCTTTTGTTGCAATAGTTTAATGCTTATTTTTGTTGTTTCATTGCAGAATGGAGACAGAAAGTTGGCTCAGAGTGCTCAGATGTATCATTACCAACATCAAAAGCAACAGATGATAGCTCTTGAAAAGTAACTATCATTCCTAATAATATAGAGACTGTACTTTAGAAATCTATCAATCAATCAGTTAGTCAATCAATTTGTGAATATCAACATTTCAACTTCTATAGAAAAATCACAGACAAAAAAAGAATACAAACAACCCATATTACATGACTTGTAATTGTTAAAGGGAGGAAGAATTTGACAGAAGAAAACATCAATATTTAAGTGTCTCGCATTGACCTCTATAGTCATACCAAAACAAAACAAAATTAATAGAATCAATAAATCTAGCGGCAAAGTAATTAAAGGGTTAAAATTAATCAATTAAATGAGACACATGTTTTCAATCAAGTTTTTGAAAAGTGATAACAGATATTAAATGACAAATAATAAATCTGTGCTCTGAAGATATTTATGAATGATGCACGTTTCTTAGTCTACCTTGTGGCTGTTTCCCTGAAAATGTTACGTAATAATTGAAAAGTAAAAAAACTACAAACATTTTTATCTTAGGGCAGGACAAATCCAGAATAAACATACAGTACTATAACTATGCTATGCTATGAGGCTCACATTAACAAAAATTCTAACAAATGAAATACCATTTAACAAGTTGCCTATTTTGCAGTAATTTCTAATAAATGTATAACCTAACACAGATTGCACGAGGGCCAATTCTCTTGGACTACTGTACTTCATTCATTGACATTATATTATTATTTATAAATGTTGTATTGTTTTATTATTAAAGATTCAAGATTTCATTTATTCATCATACAGTTACAGTACATGAAGTTTGTTCTCCCAAATACAAAACAGAATTATATAAAAATATACAATATAATTAAAAAGTATGAAAATGCTTCATTTTAATAGTATAAATGTATACATAAAAATTACAATAGCGCTAAGCCCTTGTTAAACCTGATAATATTCATTATGAAGATTATTAATGTAAATGTAAGTTATTTGAACGAGCACTGATTATCCTATTACAACAAGTAGACATAGGATAAACATAATTTATCATTATAGTTGTTAGGTGGACTTATTATGGTTAACCGTTGTTGGTCATAGGTCGTTGCTATTTCTTCTATAAATATGTTTTAAATTTCATGAATTAACCATGTAATTTTTTTTACTACTATCTGCAGTCGAGAGAGAGGAGAAACACAGAATGATGCGTCTGACTACGACTCGGATGATAACGAGGATGAACCCACCGTCTACGAGTGCCCTGGCCTCGCCCCGGTAAGTTCAAACTTCAACAATCTCAGTAATGGCCATATACAACTATGGAGCCATTAGAACTAGGAACAGTTATCCATTAAATTCGGTATAATAACCAGCCATAACCAGGGTAATTGGTGCAATATATCAGTACAGAATAATATAATTAATTAAAGTGATTTAACATGGTACAGAATTGTGGAAGTTATAGTAGGTTTCATAGTCACTGCACTTTTCAAAAATTAGAGTTGGTTCCCGAAGAATACAAGATTTTTTCATGCTTTAAGTAAAAGTAAAGTAGTTCATTTTGGTCTTAGTTGAGTAACTAGAAAGTAAGGTCTAGGCCTCAGTGGCCACCAAGCGACCACTAAATAGCAATGTAGATAATGTTGCTTCCATCCTACTCTTATTGCCACCTCACCCTCCATGTCATAGAACAAACATAAATTCAAATTCTGTTTAAATAAATCTATATTTACTATACACGATATGTGTTGAAGTTCATTGACTAATGTTCGTGCAACCTACGAAGCCTCCTTACCCAAGTGTGACCACCTGTTATCTCTATACATGTCATCTGCCTTGTTGTTGATGTTTTTAATGAGGGCTATATGGTTTTGCAAGCTCTTTTTGATGATTATTGACTGTTTCATCTGGTTTTAGGCTCATTCTAGGTATCTTTTAGATCAGTGAGTGAGTATGTAGTAAGATAGGGTGTGTACACTTCACAACTGCAACCACTGGACTAGAAGCTTACAGGATGCTTAAATTTTGAAAATGATTGTGAATTAACTCCAAATGATTTTGTAGTGATACCCATCCACTTTTAAATATCACAAAAATTGACATGAATGTTCCCCTTTAAGTAGATATCTGTCAATATTTGGTTTGTAAATGGCAACACATTCAATTCAGCGATTGAGATTGCAAATTACCAGCTCATTTCCTGCAGGTGCGAGTTCGGCAAGCTGCATTTGTTCAGCGGCAATAAAACTAATTTTATTTGCCTCTCTTTTCAACGAAGTCTCTCAAATGAATCCTAGTTACAACGTGGATTTGATTGTTCTTTTCCAATAAGTTATTAAAAACACTTAATTGGAGCACGGTTGAATAATTAAATTTAGTTCGTTAACAATCTTTGTGGACAACTATTTATGTTAATTTCCTGTAAGATTCTTTGAACCCAGCACGCATATTTTGATGATCTATTACAGTTAAGTATTTCACATTGAAAGTGGGTTTGTTATCCAAATTTAAACTCATTTTAAAGGGTTTTTTTACTTCAAATTCGAATGTGGTAAATTCATAAGCATCTATTTACATTTACCTATAATACAGATGTTTTGTAAACAAAGTATGAACCTAAATATCACAATTTGATGATTATTTTAATAATCAAATTATTTTTCGTGTTTTTTCTAGACTGGTGAAATGGAAGTCAAAAATCCGCTGTTCCAGGGGATGGAGGAGCGAATGCAGGAAGAGCAGAAGCATGATGCGAACTAAAAAAACATTCAATTGTATTTATTGTAATGGACTCTGCAGAAAATAATTACACAATGTGCAGATCACATGAACAAACTGGCTCAATGGCAAGCTGTACGCCTAAATTTACATCAAGAAAATCACCCTCAAAACCTAGTAGTTGTGTGTAGCACAGGCGAAAGTAAAATATTGTGCATCGCAGTGATCACTTTTTAAAAACATGAAAAAAAAAAGCTGGCTAAATTTTTACCATGTTTGATCATCCTTTTTAAAAGTTTATTTTTATATAATTTATTAAAAATAAACTTTTACAAACTTCCCACAAAACACAAAATCATGACTTATCTCAATCTGTTGAAGAGCCATTGACTCTATTGAAGAGCACCCCATTGTTCGGTTTTTTGTTTGTTACTGTACAATGTGTCTACTATTGTTGCAAAAAGCATAGTGACAGATTTTGATTAAAGAAAGCTGGGGATTGTATTAATTGTAGTAGTTTTGGGCTGTGCTCCTTAGTAGACTTAAGAGAACTTTAGTAGAGATATCCTTCTTATATTCCTTTATCTTTTTAATATTCAATTGCTTTATTCAATCTCTCCACTTTTCCTAATACTTTTCGTGGGACATGCAGTGGCATATCTAAGGGTATTGAAATTGGGGGTGGGGGTGGCTTAAATGGAGGGTGCAAAGTTTGAGTGGGAGTGCTTAATGATAAAGTGAGGGGAGTTGCTAGCAAAATAAGGTGGTATGAGGTGTTATTTTTATTGAACTACTTAATCATAAGTTTTTTTTTTGTTTTTTAGGGCATGAGCCTTTATGCATCCCTTTAGATACGTTACTGAAGACATTTTGCAGAATTCTATATACATTTAAGCTTGCTTAAAGAGAGAAAAAATGTGTCATTGTTATCCAACATTTTACCAGTGTACTTAATTGATTTTATTTATTAATTATTCAAACTCTGCAAATGGATCATGGTAATTGTAATTCATTCTGTGGACTAACTTTAAACGAATCACAATAAAAACTCAGATGACATTTTTCAAAAGTAATGAAAAAACAATAACAGCAAAATTATTGATAGAATATACAATTCTATATTAGAT